CCACACCTGCCCCCGCCGGCAGGGCCGCCCGGAACGGGGGAAGGATGCCCGCGGCGAGCAGAGGGTTACTGACCTGGTCTCAGCAGGGTGATGCCACAGCCGCCCCCGCCAGCCCCGGTCAGCTTACTATGCAGGCCGTGGGACGCCGTCACCCGGCACAGCCTGTCCAGGGAGGGATGGCCGACTCCGATCACGTTTAAGTGGTGCTGGTTTATATCAAAGAGTTCCTAAAAGCAACCACACACACACGAGATGAGCAGGCATCGTGACAGAGGCTCTTCACAGCCGTGGCTCCCCCTCCAGTGAGGTGCAGGGGAGCTGCCTTGCCTCACCAGCCACCCCTACAGACCCACCACATCTCTGCAGGGAGTTCGGCCACCAGCGTGTCTCAGGGCCCAGCAGCACGGTCAAGGCCAGAGCCTGAGCCCTGGGCTGCTCATCTGTCCTTGTCACGACTCGTGCTGCTGCTGCCCACCGCAGTGACAGGGGTACAACAGCTTCTGGACCTCCTGAGGAAACCCCCATCGCCGCGAGCTGCCAGCGGGCATTTGTATCGGGTGCTAAACCAGAGCTCCCCGATGCCTCCCAACTGCTTCACCTCTCCCCTGTCACAGGAGCGTTGAGCAGGAGACTGTGCGAGCCCCCTCGCTGGCCGTGGGAAGGGCACTAAGCCAGCATCACTCAATCCTGGCTGTCACCCGGCCCTGCTCTGCAATCCATCCAGCAAAACTCAACCCAGGGGACTTCTGACACAGCCAAATCCGAAACAGCATCGCTGGAGAGGCGACGCGGAGTCACCTCCCCCTCGTTTGCGTTGTGCAGCACATCTCCCTCCTCACGGGCAGGGCCTGGGCTGCGAGCCGAGGGGCCTCTCGCCAACACCACGCCGGGAACACGGCACCCAGCACAAGCGGGGTCAGGAGGGTCCTCCCTTTGGGGAGAGCGGTGCAAGCCACTCTCCAAGCGGAGCTGCCCAGCTCTGGTGAGCTGCATCTCTGCCACGTCGTCCCAGCCAGCCGCAAACCCTGCTGCTCCTGGAGAAAGCTGCCATGGCAGCAAAGTCCCAATGGCCCGAGGGATGGGCAGCACCACACAGAGGTGGCAGCTACAGCTCCTCCTCCTCCCCCCAGGTGAGGAACTAAGAGGGAAGGACTCTGCCTGCACTCGGAGCACAGCCAGGGGCTGACACCAGGCCGCCGAGCGCCGCAGCGCCCTCCCAGCTCATCAGCACCATCAGTGGAGGAGCCTCGTTCTCCACAACGCTGGTCTGACACCACAACTCAATCACATCCCCAGCGTGCGGTGGCTGTTCCCTTCGCTGTCCCAGAGGGTGTCACAAGCAGGGAGCCGCCCGAGACGGGACCAGTCCCAGAGAGGCTCCCGAACAGGAGCCCCGTGCTCCCTCCTCCAGCCGGTGCCACCAAGCGCGCCCCCGCCCGCAGCTTGCGGGGAGCAGCAGGAGCCCGGCCACAGCGGGGCAGGTGTCAGTCACATCCCCCTCCCTCAGCTCCGCAGGGGTCTCCTGCCAACGCCACGCAGGAGGGGATGATGCAGGAATAATCCCTCTTCCCCCCGCCACCTCCAGGGCATTTCTGCATTGCTTGTAAATAAAAGCGTGGGGAGATGAATTAGCCAGTGGCGCGCAGAGCGCGGAGATCGCAGGTTCTGTGCTGGCTTGGACAGGCGTCCATCGAGAAGCCTCTTTATATGCCTGAGTGAGGGCACAGCACTGGCTATGATGATCCAAGACACCTGTCATCTCCTGATCCAAAATCTGCCAGGAATCGGATGACAGCTTATGACACAGTAGACTAGTTCGATGGTTCAAATACAACGCTGCCCAGAGCTGCACATTTCAGAAACAGCCCTAATATATATATATATATGTGCTGCATATAGTCAGCTGTGCCTCGGTGTGCAATTCAAGCACAAAACAAAACAACAGATTCAAGACAAACCTGCTCACTGCAGTGCTGCTTCCCAGGCATCACCTACAAGGGTGCTTTGGTACCTCTCCCGTGAAGATCTCGACACACACTTCACATTAACCCTCCTCTCCCCCACCTCCCCGTCATTCCGACAGCCTGAGCAATAAGGCATTAAGCTGCCTGAAGTCGTGCCGCAAACAGACTCCAGGTCTCCCCCGGCTGATGCCAGCTCAGCCCACCCTGATGGGCACAGAGACCCACCCGGCATGAAGGGAGCAGAAGGACTTGGCTATGAATCCCACGAGACGCCCCGTGGTCCCAGCAGCAGCTCACCCACGTGCAACGAGGTGCACCACAGCCCGAAGCAAGGAGAAGGCTGTCTGCAGCAGCCCTCTGTCCCACCCCGGAGCCCTCTCCTGCACCTCCGGAGCACGCTCATGGCTGTGGAGGGGAAAACTTGCCAGCCAGAGCAAGGACAAGCAGAGGTCCCACACGGGAGAGCCAAGGGGAGGGATCCAGATGCCAACAAGGAACTGCACCGCTGGTTCTTGACCGTCCAAGTCACTTGGCACCAAGGGCCAGGCCAGGTTGCCTCAGCTGGGCTGCTGCCATGCATCCCTACCCCACGGCTGTGGGAATCAGCATCACAGCACTCTCAGCGCTGCAAAAAAACCCCAACTTCTTCCACTTGGAAGCCTGTTTCCCCCTCCCCACAGCAGCCTCTCCTACTTTGAACAAAGCCAAGACAAACACCGATCTTTGTATGCACCTCATGCATCAATGTCAGGTCAGCTCTGGGCACAACTCTGTCTGTTATTCTCCGGAGCCAGGATGAGCACAGAACAATGGGAGCTGGCTCGTAACCAGTCCATCACAAACCAGTAGCCGCTGGGCTCTCTGCTCCTCCACTCCAGCCTTGGCAATGACAAAGCAGCTGCTTCACAGGCAGCGACTGCCGGAACGAGCGTGGCTGGCCCACGGTGCAGGGAGGCAGCGTCTCGGCCCGGACTCACTCCACACTTGGTCGCGGAGGGAAACAAAACCTTCAGAGCGACAGGTCCACAAAGCACCAGGCCCGCTCCCTCCCTCCCCCTGCACGGCTGGGGAGAAACACCAGCAGCATTTTCTGTCCCTTGGCTCCGGGAAAGGCATTAAAAGCTGCGCACACAGACCACGGTTTCACTCGGAACTGAACATTTCCTGCTATCAAATTTTTCCTTTAGACCTAATGTTCTTTAAATGACATTTTGATGTTCAACAGTAACCGTGGCTAAAAATACTGGCGAACAAGCCCCTTACCTCCAGCACAGGGTAATATTCCGGTGATGGATTTGCAGGCATCGCTTCCAGAACACTTTGGCACTCCTGAGAAATTGCATCGATGGAGTCCAGCACTGGGTTCATTATCGCAGGGAACTGAGAAGGGGGGAAGGCAAGAGGTGAGAAGGCTCCTCACTAGTCTTCTAATACCACTGTGATAAAACTGGCCCCGGTCTCCTTGAGCTGGACACCTCCTCACCCCATTTGGGGCTACTCATTCGCAGAAAAACCCACCGCGAAGCAGGGCAATGCTAAGTTGCTCCCACCTGCAGAAAAAGCGGGAAGAGAGGGGAAACAGGCCAGGGGAAGGAACCATCCTTTTCATGGTTGCAAACCGGTGATTTTTGTGGCAAGCCCTGCTAATGCTGGAGAAAGGGAGGAGGCAAGCTGAACCCCCATTCCCAGGGGAGCTAGGCCTTGGCTAGCAGCAGATAGGAATGCAGTGAGCACAGGAGGGATCTCCCAAGAGACCCCTGTGAGACCTGCAGTCCCACACGAGGCCAATCTGAGCTCACGAGGGGTATCTCCCCACCCCGCACCAGCGCACATCCCCATCCCCGCCGACCACGTGGGCGCTGCACCTTCAGGACCTTCTCCTTGACGCTGGCCACCAGGGCCTTGGTGCTTCGAGGGACTTTGGTGTTGGTCAGCAGGATCCTCAGCGTCGGCACCCTGGAAGCAACAAGAGATCTCCTCGCCCCTTTCCTTCAGAGTCCCCCAGCAGCTCCCGAGGCCTAGCCAGCCACCCTTCCCCTCTGCCCCCAAAGGCCTGTTCGAGCAAGACACCCAAGAGAAGTAGGCCCATTAGCTTTAAAAAAAACAGTTAAGCAGGTGCTTAAGTGCTGGCTGGGTTCACCCTTATTCCTCTTAGATACAAAAAACCTACTGTACTAGTGCTATAAATAGGACTGTAACATATTTACTGAAATCCATGTTTTTCAAGCAAAATTTTTCCTTTGAAATACTATCTACAAGACTAGCCAGCAGTAGCCATTAACTGCTAATAGAGCAATTTCATGCACTGTGAAAGATTTTAATGGAGTCAGATTATACTTGGTTGGCAGGAGGCAGAGGGAACACGCGGGACCTGGACTCGTCTCTGCAGCTTGGTTTTCACGCAGCCCTACCACCAGGTGAGCAAAAAAGTTCCCCCTCCCCGCAATGTCATTTGCTGCCAGGAGCAGACCCGTTCCTGCTGCCCATAACGCCATGAAATTAATATTGATCCTTTGTGCTGTGTTCATCTCATGTCAGATAATGACCAAACAGTTCATCGTGCCCATTTTCCCCCAAACCAACACTCCAGCTAGCGACACCCACGGCAAAATCTGGCTACGAAGCCCTGCCGCCATGCTGTTAGCCATCTCCCACCCAGCCCACACCCTACGAGATCCACCCAATGCCTCTCTTGACATATTCCACCCACGGTACGTAAGTGTTATTTTTAAACTCGAATATTACCTCTTTAATGGTGTGATTTTTCCTGATTGGTATCTCAGGGCTCCACCTAAAGTAAAATATATGCATTGTCTCAGTACACAGCGAGCAGAGAGATAACACAGCGTCGTCAGAGACAGAAGGTCTTTCATCTTAAGAACCTCACCCAGAGCCTATGACAGTAATTGCAAGAAACACCAGCTAAATGAACCATGTTCTCAGCCAGCATGAATCTGCCTAACCCTGCTGACTTAATGAGAGGGTCTGGCCGGACGTAGTTAACCCGGTGCCTTCCCCTTTGCTCTCCCCTGCTCTGGGATCACATTAAATATTTTTAAAAAAGGCAAAGAGTTTGGCCGGCATTAAATCTTTACTGGGGAAAAAAAAAAAAAAAAAGTCAAGCAGCGACTCCCTGGGGCAGAGCCAAGCAGGGGGGTTTCAAACTGGACTGAATGTGTGCACTCACGTCAGGCGCCGTCCTTCAGCACGGAATTTCATTGTCCAGGAGGAACGCCTCACTTGGCTCCTACTTTTACAGGGGCACTGCGATTAGGTCTCATTAGAAAGATTATTAAAAGTCTCCAAGGACACTTCCAAAACACTTGGAAGTCTCTGCTAATTGAAACTAAATGACAGCTGTCCAACTGCATTTTCTACCGCCTTATCCTTGGGACAGGATTAGGTTTCTTTGTTCACGCCAGAGTGTTTAAATATCAGTTATTTGCAGCAGGGTCTCTGCCCCACGGCACTTGCCTGGGGGATGCAGATCGCCAGCATTATTGCAGCAAGTCCCCAACAGCCTGGCTGGCTCCAGGCCCAGCTTACAGACGGGACAATCCAAGACAGAAGAGGATTTCCTCCACTCAGGTCAAAACAGGGACCTGGATTTGGGAGTTTGCTCCCTCTGCTGCACCTCAGTGCAGTCAGGCAACCTGCTCCACCCAGGGTCCCCGCAGCAAGCCCAGCCAAGCCTTATCGCCTGCAGAACTGCAACCTGTGGCACCCGCTCCCCACCTCCCCCCGGCTGCTGCACGCTCTGCAGGGAGGAGCGGAACCCCGGCGGCTGCTCTGTGCCCCCCCGTCAGCCTCTCCTCAGCGCCCACGTTCAGTGCTGGGGAGCAGCAAACACGCACGTACCCCAGGTGCCGACAGCGTTATCCACACCCGAGGGAGTGCCATGGATCACCCGCTCCCCCTGGAAGGCCCAGCCGTTAATCAGAGCCAGCTCTTCTTCTGTCCACCTGCAAGGCAAGAAGAGGACTCCAATAAACCACGGCAACCAGCACACACGGAGCGACGGAGAGAAGCACCAGAAGCTGCAAGAGGAACAAAAGCAGCAGGAACCCCCCAAGGCACCCAGTTGCTGTAGGAAGCTCCAGCGCCACGAATCCCCTCCGCACTCCCAGCAGAGAGCGGGGGCACTTCTCCGCCCGGCAGCGCATTGAAACCCCCCCAGCCCCGCGAGGGGAACCAGTGCTGCTCCACGGACAGAGACAGCGCGACGGGCACAGCCAGTGCTCCCGCTGCCGGCCAGCGGCGAGGGAGGGAGCAGATTCGGGGGGAAGACCCCAGCCCCAGCCTAGCGAAGATCAAATTTAACTGAACACAAGTCCAGACCCATCCCCACCTCCCCGACACCGCGTGTTACCACGCGTCTTGGCCCCAGACCCTGCTGCCCAGCGGGCAGGACAGTGTATTTACAGACGCAGAAGGCGGGATGTGAGAAGAGAACAGTTAAAGTTGCATTTCACTTGCGCAACTTCAGCCTCTGATCGCCAGCGGCTCAGCTGCAGAAGCCTCACAAATTGGGTCAAAAGGTGCCGTTAGAACTGATTTACTATCTCCAGCGAAGACTTTGGTTCTTAGGGATTAACTCCTCACACTTCAAGCTGCACCGGGTGCTGGCACTTCAAGCACAGAAGGGAACCAAACGCAGACCCAGAAGGTGTTATGCTGAAAACACAAACCCTTTCTTTCGTCTTAAAAGCCGTCACATAAATTGGTAAGTGCTTTGAGAGTTTAAACGCTGGCACAAAGAGTTTGGTGCTGGGTCAGACTCAGCAAGGATCAAGGCCTCTGATTGAACACACCAATTAATGGGCTGTAGCGACACAAAAAGCAAACGCAGAGCTGCCGCTTACAACGCAACTGCTGGCTGCAGCTCCACCGCGATCCCACCGCAGCGATTTCCCCCCCAGCACTGCTCAAAACCCGCTGCTCCAGGCCTGGTTCTGCACGGCATGCACCCACACAGCCACCTCCAGAACTCCCCAGTCTATTCCAAACCCGCTCGCCCACTCCATGCTGAAGGACTCTCTCAAACCCTGGCACCCTAAGGGACGCTCGGCCCCCACCGGGAGCCAGCTAGCCCTCCTGCACCCTGCTAGAGCACACTTAGCCTCGCAGGGGCACACAAATACCCACCCCTGACCCACCCCTGGAGCACAGCGCTGCCTGCTCTGCAGCCCAGGCACGCAGCACGCATCCCAGGCCACCGTTCAAACGGTCTAAGGCACAGCAGGATGTCGCCAGTGCTGGGATATCCCACCCCACCGAGCAGAGCTGGCGTTTGAACGTGCATTCGACAGGTTTTTACAACAGGGGGCCCAGAACAGGTATTACACGATGGAGGAGAGGCACAAACGTGGGTTTTGGAAAAGCCCCACGCAGCCTTACGAAACGAGAAGGGTCACTGCCCGCTGCTAAGGCCAGGCAGAAGGTCGGAGAGCCGCCTGCTACCTGGAAGCTGGATCCTTTAACTTCCCGCTTCCCTGGGCCTCAGCTGAATGTCTTTATCCATCTCTCCACACCTTTCCCTTCGCTTGCCAATATTTCATCTGTGAAGCACTCAGCAAAAACAGCTCGCCCCACCGCTACTCAAAATAGAAGCGCAGTTTGCTGTAAACCACTTGTTT